AATGCAAAACTACTCAGCACGCAAGCAAACGTACCACATACGCCGCCTTGTTGGCCAGGATTAGTAAACCGGATGGGAGCGTACTCAATGTGCTTCCATTCTGCGTGCAGTGGTGCCTTCTCCTGCACCTGAGTAACCGCCCCTTATAGTAGTTCACGGAATTCGAATCGATCAAAATTTGCCATGGATTTGCAACGCCTGTAATCAACGTGAGTTTGTCATAAACTCAAATTCTTCATGTTCTGGCAATGTCATTTTCGGTTTGCCCGAGTGCGGTTTCCCTGCACTTAGTTGACCGTACAAAAGCGGTATGAGTATCTTCCTCGAATTCATTCAGTATACGTATATACATGCATTAGGGTCATCCGTGTCCAATGGCAGTTCGAATACAACATATGTACATGCGTTTATCCGAACTTAATTGTGAGCTGTCACAAACTGGATAGAGACACATTAGACCTCATGATCAATGGTACGGCAAACGTGTATGGGTTTTGTTTGGAGGACAGGCTAACAACCACTTTCGTAGGCATGAGAATAAGTACCCAATACTAACTGTTGGGATCTTCTTCAGCATTTAGTCGCGACAGCCTTTAATCTTAGGTATCCGTATTTGAAGGAACCCGATATAGGAATAGTGAAGCAACTGCTAGGTAGAAGGATAAATAAACTACTGGTACAATAAAATGGCCTGCACTTAGGTGTTGCACTCTATATGTACAGTCTGTTTTGCGTAACTGATGGGGGAGATCGCACAACATGCGGATGCGATGGAGTGTTCAATTCTGCCTCTCTGTGTCATCCATCGATCCGGTCATCTGGCGCCCGAGATACGTGCACATTCGCAAAGAACGATTGATGCGTAACCTTTGATATAGACGGGTGACATCAACTAAGTCCCGCTGCTCGCTGTCAAACATGCGACTTTCCAAATAGTGATCGGATTGTTTTGCAAATGTCCAAGTATTCAAACGTGTTTACTCACCGATGTGTACTCTGCTATGATCATAAGCTATTTGCTATTTGCATCGTACGTCTCGGGTGCAGCCATTTGTTGCTCATAAAACAATTGTCGATGTGCGCCGATTCCTTTCCGATGTAATATACTAATACACTGACGTACCATTCCCATTGGTTTTAACATTTTACTTCGTCTATCCAACAGATCGGCCATGTGTAATGCAACTTCTGCTAGGCGTCTCTGCACTTCCGCATTCCATCCGTTTAGTACGTGCGTTTGCATATGTCCCGGTAAATTCAGTATGGTTGATGAACAACTGGAAATATAATTATGCTCACTCTAATCACTAACCTGCGGAGCAGAACGTGAACTGGCGACACCGTGATAATCGCTAGTCGATTAGTTGTCGGGATTGTTCACTTGCCACAAAATTTCCATGGAAATTTATCTTCGAATGTATAGCCTAACGTGGTCACACGAAGGCCAATCGTTGAGCATTGTGTTCAAAATGTCAAACTTTGCATTATATATGCGTACTGTAAGCGGCCAAGCGCTGGTAACCCTTTGATTCAAGCGTAACCATCGAACTGGAGACATTCTCAATAATTTGTCACCCAAGTATTGATCCGTATCAACCACACAATTCGCTCGGAAACTCCGCGCGCACGTCAAATACAAATGAGTGTATTAGTATATTATATAACAGAGTCTTAATAACCCACAGAAAGACTGAAACGTGTAAACAGTTTATCATCAACTGGGTTCACGTTGGAACAGATGGAATTGATTTTGCTAGTATTGAATACCGGTTGCCTCTGAAAAAGAATGACAAGCTAAGTATACAGACTAACTGTGAGTGTTTGTCTGATCAGGTCAGGCAACTTTCCCCGAAGTCAACGGATGGTATAGGTTGTTTTCGGTCAAGTTGATAGAGGCTTCGAACTAAGTTCAGAATGTACTTGTAAGTGGTATTGCCTAAAAGCAGAACACCGTACGGCGATCATGGAGCTAAAACAGGTGTGACACTTGATTATACAACCGGACAACCAAGCGAGTATAGTTAGTGTGGTCAAAAGTGAATGTATCACACAAGTGGTAGTTATTCTCGGAGATGGATGCAGGCTTTAGATTGATGAGTCTCAGAAAACAACACCCTAGCAGAGAAGCAAATTGCAAAGCAATTTCAAATGCTTTTGTTACACGGAAACTTCTCCAAAGCACAATGTGGTAACTGAAATCGACGGGCACAGTAACACTAAAAATGAGAGGTGCACCCAGGATGCGCAAAGCAGGCAACCTACTATACCGGATTATCACCATGAACAACCCGTGCTACCGTATGGTTGATATATGGCAAGCAAAATATCTAGAACCCGTGTGCAAAATCCTAGCCACATATGGTTTGGTAGGTTTTTGTATATGCTTTGGTTTTTAGAACCTCAATGCCGGATGCGTGGTTCACGTGCCCAAAACATGTGGACTCTCTTTTCACTAACGTACAACTTCATACTACGGTCGACGGGTTACATCACTACAGTTCAAACTAATACCGAACTGTGAGTCTTTCACTGGAGTAATGGTAGACCTGATGCTGCGGTGTACGAAAAACGCGTCCTTTCAGTCTGAAAGTAAGTCGACGGTGTCGTAACTGACAGTAGTCTGGATTCCGTGTTGGCAACTATCTCGGTAGTCATGTCTGAAAAGAAGTTGCTATCATTGATGCTGTAAAGCTTTATAAACTGCATGCGGAAATATTCTATTCTCAACCAACGTGGAACATTTCAACCTTCTGAACACCATCCTGCCCCATGTTCACTACAATCTCTCTGTATCAAAACTGGCTAAAATTCAGAACTGCCTATTGTTTTAAACACCTAATGAGGGAACAGACTGATATATTTGCAGGGCACCGCCAGTCACAAATAAAAGTGCAGAAAGTAATACCTACATTCATCCAACTTCTCCCCGGCTGCGTACAAATGCTGTCTCGTAACTACTCTGTCATCCATAGACAGGATGCTTTATAGCCTGGGATTATGGAAGATTAATGAATAGTTTGTACACAAGTCTTTACTGTTCAATCGGGCTCTAGAGAAATCCATCCAACTTTATTACAGACCATGTAGGAGCAGCCGCAGGATCTAACGGCATCTAAAAGGCATCCTTTGTTGGGGCTTGGTGTGCCTGCAATGCGTCTGGATTGCGACACGCAATCTCGATTGTGGCCACAGTTTGCTTGGAAGCGAATCTCTACTGTTTCGATCAGTGGGCCTGCATCCAAAGTGGAGAGACAACACTGCGCTCCACGACTGACCGGGTTCGTCCTGATTTGGACTCGTCAGGTAAAGATAACCTGAGGTGATATTGGAACACTATACAAATTTGTTGACGGCTTACGCTTTGGTCACTAAGACGGGTGCGGATGCAGATGCTCGCTACTGACGAGTCCCAATAGGACAAACCGGCCGTCTAACGCTTTGCTGAATGTGTGGTGGCTGTCTGCCTGTGTCTAACTGCGACGAATCTACAGGAAAACCTAATAAATCTTCCTACTTCTTACAAATTAACCTTTTTACTTAGATTATTACCATATATGTATACCATTATCCCATTATTCCAAAAAACGGCTGGATACAATCAAAGTGTTCAAACAGCTCCCTGTTCCAACAAGATTTATGGAACCAAAGAAGTATAGGAATCATAACTGGTACATTACCGAGCACCTGAGGACGTTCCGTCACCAAGTCGACCGGGTAAATTCGTTCAAGGTGTTACGATGGAGTCTGAATCGAGAAACGGGCCATCAGTGAGGCGTTGATGCTGATAACCTACCGTCTGGTGTGGTGTGCAGAATTGACTGATCCACTCCACAATCTAATACCTTGGTCGTGTTTGCGTACTATTCGCCAGTCGCCAATGAAACTTATTTGTGTTACTGGAACTCCAATATGTCTGAGTGCGTATGTTTATCCTAAATATATATCATTGTGACCGACGAGAGCAATTGGAATATCAACATATCGCAACTTATCTATACTCTGAGCCCATGAAGTGGTCTAAAAGGAATCAGTATATAAAATGTAGTTGCAGGAAATTATAATACATCGCAACTAGGTGAACACCGGCAAACAGACAAAATTCAGGCATCTGCGTGCACCCTAACAGACAGACAATCCGGATGTACCGCGATTAATAGGATGAAATGAATAAAACCAACGGCCCGAAGCATCCTACTCCGGGTTTACGAATAAGCTGTTTACCGGTATATTTTGTAGATGAGACCTCATTTCGGGGTAGAGCGTTTCAACGCAACCGCAAAACCGAATGAACAAGTTAACCACCCCCTTCCGCAAACGATAAGCCGCTCCAGTGGCATTTCGGTTTATTGCGTTCGTTGAAACTCAACGAATGGTGCTTTACCCTTCACAAGTTGTATCAACAATAAATCTACTCATTCTAGTGCCATAGTTGTTAAATATGACATATTACTCATGAGATAATTTGAATGAGCAAAATTGTTGATTAGCTATTGGCTCTGTACTCCGAATATGCCGACGATGTGTATAAAATTCAAGGCTAAACTGTCTTGAAAATCCCGGTTGAAGAAGGAACAGATATCAAGGGAAAGTGAACAGATGCACCACTCAACAGTTACTTTGTCAATAGGTAGGGTGGATGGTTACTGGCCTGCCAGAAACTGATGTACTTCGCCAAATGTAAGCAGACTAAGTTGGGATACATTGATATCAGGAGTCGTATCCTTATTCACAGTTCTTGTGAAAATGAGGTTTCCATCTCTGAGTAGGTATGTTTGAACAAAGCTCTTGGTGCTAGTATAAATGTGCACAGTGAGAGAAAATAAATAGATCCAGTACAAGCCACTGTCAGAGAACCGTTTCCCTCCGACAGGGATCGCTTGTAATACTCATCCTTTACGCTTACTGTTTGGCTTTGTGATCCAAAGCTAAAAACATACAATGCGTAATCATGGAGTCAGATTTAGTATACTCAATCGCTAGAATCGCAACAGCCCTGTCAGTTGTGAATCATGCAAATTGTAGTAAAGAAAATTCATCGGTAAAGTAGAAAATCTGGAGCCTATGGAAACAAACCGCGTGTGTGTTGTTTAAGTGCACTCATCCCAAGGTTGGGATAAAGCGAGACGTCCAACTCACGGATGTTCTTTCGGTACCGTAGCAAGCGATGATAGTGTATGGATAACAGGTACATATCTTTACAAAAATAAGAGTACAAAAAGTGGTAGTGAACTTGCACGGGCGTTTGTTGTGATGATAAGTTTAAAATGCAAAAACACATAATGTAAAAGGATCTCCGGCGCTTTAATGTTTGCCAACAAATGTATGCTGGTGGAACAGATAGAGTAAGGGAGGTAAGTGTCCAAATGAATATCACAGATGTAGAGAACAAAGTGAACAAACAAAGAATCAGGGAGCCGAAGTATCCAAACAGGTATGCTGTGTAGAATTCATTGGAAATAGAGCGACGAATGGAAATGCATGGATATCTGGCGTGGGGTTCGGACACACATACGGCTAAAAGTAGCAGGTGAAATTGAGCTTAGAATGGAGGGCGGCCGAATCTTAAAACTCTCATAGGATGGGTAAAAAAACTCCAAATAATATTTTGTTCTTTACAACGGATGCGAAACAGAGAAAACGTTGGATCTGAACAGGTTGGTGGGTGCAGGATACAGAAAGTAAGAAGAGCGAGGAGAAGAAGGAAGAGGAGAAGGGGACACAGCGAACTCGGTGGTAGACAGCGACAGAAATGTTTGCTTCCATCTCCTTGAAGGGGTAGGATGGATCTACAACACGTGAAAGAAAAAAGAACAGAATGAGTATGGAATAGATGGAGTATGTGTACATACACGAATACCAATGGTACCCATTTTACTCTTAGTTGGGAGTAACTATTTAATTTTAACTTGAATGTCTGAACAAACATGGAATATCATAAACTGTTTTTGGGTCAGTGAACTTGACGCAGCTGGAGAATAAAGATATCGTGAAAGATCTGAATTAGAACTTGGTACCCTAGTCATTGGTATCAATCAAAGAAATGATATGTACGTACACATATAAATGTAGATATATTGATTGCCACTTACTGTAATGGTGACGAGCCGGTCGCAATGGCAGTAGTTTTGTGAGTCTTTCTGATCATCCTCCGCGCTTATCTTCCCCTTATAAAACGCTCTTATTTGCGCTGCACAATCTGATAAATCCTAGTACCTTTTGGCTTTGTCTTGCATTCTGTAATGTTTAGTATCTCGAGTTTTTTGAATATCACCTTCTTATTGCGGCGCATTAGCTGCGTTGCTTCTCACCTCCACCTAGCGTGCCATTATTAGGATGGTCGAACCAGTTTTGCTGGAGCGCTTTCATCTTTGGGAGAATCTGAGTTGCACTCCGCTCTTATACGATCTTGGTGACCCATTCAGCCATGGAGCAATGTTATCACTCGGTCTCAAAATACTAAGTGTGACTGTCTACAGCACGATGAGTGAAAAGCAACCTAAGGTAATGAACTGTGCGGGTTTCCACATTGACTATATCGCACACTTTCTTGAGTCGTTCAATTCGCTTGCGTGTTTGCGTCTGACCCGCATTTTCTGATCGTGATCCGTCATGTTCCTGATAGCCACTCCGGAGATCTTATCCATTCCCATTACGGCCACCACCTTGGCACGTAGTTCACGTTTGGCCTGAAGGTATCGACCTGCTGCAGTACAGTTCATAACCTCGTGAGAGATATCGATTAAATTGTTTCTAAATCCAATACGCTAATCTGGGCTGACTGGTTGAGACCAATTAAATTGATCAAAAGTCCACCAACTGAGTATTTGTAGGCAATTCATTCACCTTTCCGGGAGGAACCGTTAATCAAATCTAACTAACAATGCGTCTGATTGCAACTCGTCAAATTGTACTTTCGATATATTCACCACATACTTGCTGCGATCATTAGCAGTTGTTTCCATACCCTGGCTGTATGTCAGCGAATTTTATAGACAACTTGCCTGAGTTTACTTCATACGGTCAAGTGTGAGTTTACAAAGTTGGCAAAAGCACTAGGAGAATACACAAACAAGTTGCCGACCAACGATAGTAATCGTGCATGAGTTTCTAGTAATTCCAATCATTCAATGAGATCCTTTTCGGGTGACGTTGGCAATGATTTTTCACCGCACCTGTCCGAAGATGATGCAGCTTCGAGTGCGGCCAAGCAGGTGTGTGTATCGCATGGATTCCCCAGCTTCAAGCTGCTCTGATTGTATGAATCCCAATCAGTAGCCGAATGTGTCGTTCAACTTAGCGGACTCTTTCAAAGCATCAAAGTAACGCGCGCTAATAAGTCGCTGCTTACGTCCGCACAACTTGTAGTGCTGACTTGGTTAAAGACGACTTCTATCACAAACTAAACGAGCTCCTTCGTCACAGAAGAAGCACGGACACTGCAGTGTTGGCTGGGGATCTGAACACTCAGGTTGGAAAATTGTCCTCTGATGAGCTGCGTCTAGACGGCCAACACGGCGTAGGGTCCCGTAATGATAACGGTGAGAGGCTTCGACATTTGCATGAAAATGCTCCCCTATATCCCCTGAGCACTAACATCCGACACTGCACCCGCTGGAGGGTGAGATGGCGCCCACCAGCCTTTGAGCAACCATGGACGAAACTTCATCACATCACGATCAGTTACCGCTGAAGTGGCTGCGTGCAAAACCTTAGCTCGATTTTGGAGCACAAGCGTGGACACTGACCATGCACTTGCTGATCTGTGCGTGCGTTTTTTTGGACGACAGCGACGACGCTGTGGGCACATATACACCCGCCAGCTGCAGAAGCTAGACGTTCTGAATGAGTATCGAAGTACGCTGGTTGAGTAAGCGTTCACTCAATACAGTTGAATGTCCCTGATCACATGTTTACCAGACCTTATTAGCAGCAGGCATTACTCAATGTGGCAAATCAAATGGCCAACATGAACACTGGGTAGTTATGCAGTTTTTGGAACTTAACGACGCTCGCCAGCACTCCTGCCGGAAGCGAACACAAGGAGACTTGCAAAGAGGTGAGAGCAAAACGCTGTGCTAGTCTGAAGTGAGACCGCGAAGTTTGGTGTTCTCATCGTACACCGGTGATGGAAATGGCCGCTGCTCTTGATAACCATCGGAAGTTATTCCGTCTGATACGGGAAACGGGCAGCAAGCGACCTGGTGTTAGCTAGACCATAAGCGACAGTTCAGTCCAGTTCAGTTACACAACTATAATCCGGGCACTGAAACTTCAACGACTCACATTGCCAGAATAACAATAAATAACAACGGTAGGAAAATGAGCTTGAACTGGGATAGAATGTAAAGAAATAGGATAGATTCTAAGTGCTGTATCGTACACAGTCGCTATGCGAAAAGTTCTAGCTCGTGGGGCTAAGTGCTGTCCGCTGTACAGTTCGTACCTGGCATGCAGTGGAAGATGAGCCGGACCCTATCATAGTTAACTGTCAATCATGCTGGTCTGCGGCCACCACCCATGGCTTGGTGGCACAAGGTGCTGACATCCGGAAGTCATGGAGTCGGAACCTGGCAGGGGTCCGAGGAAGTCGCGCCACGGACGCGACCCAGAAGGTCGAAACAGCGCTGTCTGATGCTTTTCCAGACGTGCAAAAGCCTGCCGAGTGAGAGTGGACTGTGAAGGATTACCTCTGACTTATACAAAAACCCAAATACGCATTAGTAAAATGAAAGAAGTGCGTTGAACTAAGCGAAGTGGAGGGACAATTAATGCCTGGAAGAAAGAAGCCTAGTGCAGGAGCGCCATTCCCTGCACAACTGTGCCATACCTGATAGAGTCTCCAACCACTGATGTGGACCATTCCGTGACTCCCATTCACGAAGCGACACAAACCGGCCTGACCTAGTCTCCAAGTCAATTTCTTCATGCCTGTAAACCACGTCATGGACTGGCCACCAAGTCATTTCGACAAACTTGGTGCACCGATGGTATATAATGGATGCATATGAAGCCGGTTAACGGGCACACAGAGAACATGGCTTAGCCAACCTAAACGATTAAGATTCAGTAAATACGGATGAAGCAGCAAAGGCTTCTTGACAAAAATCCAATTGGCGGACCTCAGCATTGCTCGCCCGGTGTTCACACCAGACGAGAGCGACGCTCCACAAGCACCGGTGTTCAAACAGATGCCAAGGGTTTAATGTCTTCGCCACGTACTGGCCACTTGTCTGATCTACTCCGTAACATCAACTTTGTCGCAGCGTTACACAACCTACCCTTCGATGAGAAGCTGATATCCCGCCGTGTCCATAGATAATTGAGCCTCCGAAAAGCCACACGGGCCTTGTTGATACGTGAAGTAACGTCCTCATTCATGTGACCAACAGAAGTGACACAGCTAACCAATTAAGTGAACTTATCAACCACTTCCAGTAGCTGTTTGGAGATATCTAGAACCGGTGATGCATCGGTCTAGTCCTGCAAAACGTGCAAAGCATATGCCGAAGTTCGCAGCACTATCCACCAGTCTGTTCAGTATCCCTTGATAGCCACTGCGGCACTGAATACTGGTTGGAAGCAGCAAGAAGAGATACCTTTGTGTAGCTGCATCTAAAATTCCTCAGGCATGCTGACCAGTTGCGTTGGCGATCATTCCCCAATATTTTCTATCGGCAAGTGGTTTGTTAAAGAGTTGTCTGAATTCTGATCCCGACATCGCTTCGATTACGTGCGCCGGTAGGTTGTCCCAAATATTCACCAATCTCCGTTCGAAGCGGAATCAGTGAGCGACCCGCTTCACATTCAGTACTACAAGCTTGTACCTGTGTCATCATCTGCTGCTTGGTGTGCGGATATGGAGCAGCGGCCTAAACATGGGATAAACAGCACGATGTCATATCCAGTGCGTCATGATTAGGTCAACCCTCACTCCACGATAACATAGGGTGTAAAGCCCTAGTCTCTTGCAGCTGTCTTTGTACGGCACATCGCGTAGAAGGGGGATGAGACTGGTAGCCACATTCTGCACCTGTTAAATCCTTTGTACTTCGCATACGAGATAAGACGGTAAGCAGGTGAGCCGTACTGCAACATTAGTCAGATGAGTGAGACGAATAGGCGAGTGCCGTTTGAGCGCCTAATGCATAGGAAGTTCCTTTTGCTAAAGCCCATTCGTGTTATCCATGGAATTTAGGTAGCAGCGCGAGAATACACCGAGGTCTCCCACGGAAGGCATGGGTTGCAACGGTTGACTGGCCACAGTGTAGGATCGAGAGTGTCCACCATAACCCAGGAGCGTGAATAGCGACTTGATTGTGGTTATCGGAAGGCTGACCTCTGCAGACCACATGGAGGGGTGATCAAAGTCACCTTAAAACAGCGCACACTCGTCGAGTGCATTGTTTACTTTCCACAACTTCAAGTCATCTATAAACAACACACAAGACAAATGGAGAAAATAAGGCACATCGTTTATATGGATCAGGGACATAATAGGCCACTGTACAGTGTCTAGGGATACGCGACTGGTCGAGGGATACCAGTCGGTCAGATAGTTGTCGACCTGCGCATTCTACTTTCGACCTACCAGAAAATTCCTAATGCATTGGTACAGTGAGCTACTAACTCCGCACAGCCTCAGTCTTTGGAGAAAAATTTCGCTGCTTACTCTGTCAAACGATTTACTGAAGTCATTGTAAATGCCGACTGGTTTCCCCTGTTTCAGCGTTTCCAACCATTTGTGCTTCGTCAAAATCAAATTTGTGACGAATGAACAACCTCAAAG